CATGATTAATCTTTTGACTAAAGGCTGTGAGGCCCATAAGCCTTGTTACAATCTGGTTTCAAGAATCTGAAACCTTGTTAACAGATCCTGGAATGTTTTCATCTCCCACTCTATGAGAGAAAGTAATAAGGTTGCGGATTGGATGGCCAATAAATCCCTGTCCCGAGACTGGGACACTGTGATGTTCGAAACCCCTCCCCAGGATTGCGCTATGCTGGTGTTGAACGATTCTATGGGTGTTTCATCACCCAGACTTGTCACTATGTAATTTGCTTTTATTTCCTTTTATTTCAAAAATAAAATAAAATTGACAATCAACCAAATATAGAATTAAGAAACTTGAGCCAACATTCATGGAAATATTTTGGCCTACTTGTAGAAAATAAGAATATGAAAGCTAAAAAATAAACCTTTTTTCACTATTGTTTCTTGTATGAATATACAATGTATATATAGAGAGCAAGTCACAATCTGCATCCATAAGAAATTTGTCTAAATCAAATAATTGTTTGACCTAAAATCACTCCATGATTTTCCTAAAATTACTCCATAATTTTCTAATTACAATAAAATCAATTGACGGTTTTCTAGAAACAATTAAAATTTTAAATATTTACAAATAATATTCCATAAATATTGCTCATGCCAACACTAAACAATTTTTTTAAAAATATTCTTGAAAAGTTTACTTTTTCAGTATATTCTCAAGAATCGTGATTTTAATGGACAATTTTTTTTCCCTGTATCAAACCCCTGCTTTTTGGGAAATGTGCAAGGATATGTTTAATTATGTTCTGTGTTTTTTTTAAAAAAAAAAAAAACTATTTTTTAAAATAGTTTATAAAATCTCAAAAGTTAAAGAACGAAAAAAGTTATTTGGTAAATTTGTTCTAAAAATAAAAAAAATACAAAACTGGTTTGACTAATAATATCCATGTAATTTACACAACCATGAGTCCATTACATTGGTTCTTGCATGGGACACGATGCAATCTGGAAGGCTTAGTTCTAAGGCTCCATTTCGATGTTTGTAAGAGCAGTGCTAAGCCACAATTTGTGCATCAAATAGTGAAAAACTTCTCTTGACAGTGCTAAATCTTTTGATGAAAGAAGAAGGATCGCCAACAATAAATTTCCATTTCTGTGCGTGGAAGAGATGGGGATGGCCAGATAAGCTATATAAACATTGGGAATTCTAAAATTTCAAACCCTAATACATTGACTTATAATTTAAAAAAATGTCATTAATGAAAACAATTGGTTCTCCGTGTTTTTATTGTTTAGAGAATAGAAAACTAAAATCAATAATAAAAGCATGTTGGAGTTGTTTTCTAATTTTTGTTTTTAAAAATTAAAAACAAATACTATTCTTAAAATCGTTTTCACAAAACACTTGTAATCAAACAATTTTTTTTTCTTTTTATTTTTAAAACTAAAAAACTGTTTTATAAAACAGAAATTGTTAAAAAATAATATAAACAATTAAAAAGACCCTCACTCAATACTTTAAAATTTTGGATTGAATTAGTTATTTATATAATATCAGAGCTCGTGTAATATCCACGTTTTAATTTTTGAGCTATTGTTAAAGCTAAGAACAGGGAAGCAATGGGTACATCTCAATTGCAGTTACGTTCTAGTTGTATTTGTGATTTTTTGCTTTACTTTTAGTGAATTTGAGTTTGCCATTTTGAAAAAATACTCAATTGAAACCATGGTTTCTTTTTCTTCCCCAGTTGAGCTAAAGAGTTTTTCCACAATAAATTTATATATTTCTTGCTTTCTCTTTATTATTTCTATTTTGAAAAATTACAATATTCTATTAAAAAATTGCTATTAAAAAAATTATTACTCAATTTAACCTCCCTTCTTAAGGACCACCAGCATCTTTTTTTTTTCTTTCACTTTTGGCAATATTTAAATCGTATAGAAAGGCAAGTTGATGTGCACTAAATACCCAATTGTCTCGTGCATCTTTTTATTATTATTATTAACTTTTTTTTTTTTGTGAAAGATTATTTTTAACCTTTATACACATGTACATGCACTTATTCAATCCCATATTCTTTATAAGAAAAAAATAAATTTATTATGAAATATCGATTTATTGTGCACTAAAAAATGTGTGTTTACTGTTTAGATGTATGAAATATCGATTTATTATTTATTATGTTAAAGGAAATAAATTTATTTTCTACACATATAAAATTATATGAAATTTATATTTTTTTTTTTTCTTCTTCTCATATGAATTTACATGGACTTCACATATTTTTATGTATATTTAAAAGATAAAATTTATCTCCTATTGTACCAATTTTTTTTTTTATCTCTTGTAATATAAATGAAATATTAAACCCAGAAAATATTATCTAAAAAAAGAAAAAAAAAGGAAAGATGAACTTTAAAATAATACAGGTTGCTTGCTTTGATTGGCTCAATATGTACGATTACATAAAGACGAGATTGAGATGCCTAAGGAATAAGGATGGTCTTTGCCAGAGGAATAAATTTTTGGTATTATTATTGTACTTGGATTCAGTGTATTTTATCAATGATAGCATTACACATTAGAGAAAAGAGAAAAAATTTGACAAAAAAAAATAGAATCTTAACTAACATGTAATATTTTTATTGGTGAGATATACTGAATCTTTAGTACAGCAATAGTACTAAAGATTTATTGATCCAATGTAATCTTTACTTCGATGTGATTTGTGAAATAAACAAAAAAAAGAAAAGAAAAAGTGCTGGCTAAAAAGCAAAAATGGAAGTGTACTCGTAACTTGTTGTTTACATAAAGTGAGTGCACATTTCGAAACATAGAGAGCGACTAGCTGCCTAATGATTTTGGCCCATCAACTTACATAATCCATCTCGAAATAAGATTGGATAAGTTGACTGTTTGGTTAGAATTTTTTGGTAATGGACCATTTTTTTACTACCATTCTAATAACTTTTACATATTATTATTTGTCTTTTTTCTTTCTTTCCTACAGTTGAAAATGTATGGTAAGTGATTATTCAATATCACATCGATCTATTACATATAAAAACTGTTTCTCTATTGTATTTTTAGTTACAAGAATTTCATCGTCTTTTTATTTTTTAAAAATTTATATTTGTTTTTGACTAATATATTAAAAGGAAAATATATTTCTTATCTTAAATTAGATAATTTTATTTTATGCATACACAAAAAATGAAGGTAGAACCCATTTTTTATATTTTTCTTTTCTTTAGTGTATATCACATATTTTTTTGTGTTTTGTATGAAACAAAATTGTCTCATTGAACGTAAGAAACATATTTTCCATATTAAAATCCATGTATAAATCATGAGTTCATTTTTTCTAAAGTTATTTTAGATAATTTTGTCTAATGTTCTTCGAAACGACGTCATTTTTGGACGAAAATCATTATATGTTTATAATTTTAATTTATTTCAGGGTTATAATAATTTTTAGTATTCTAATTTTTTAATTTTTTAACTCCAAAATGATGTCATTTCGATGAATATTAGACAAAGCTATCTAAAGTAATATTAGATATTTTTTCAATAAATCATTTACTATAAAAAAAAAATCTTTAAGAGGCTTCCAAAATCAACAACAATTTGTTACACATTTATGTAATTTCTATGGGAAAACAATTTCAAATCACATATGTCTATAACCAATAAGAAAATTTTGCCTCCATGACCGACGGTTGGAAACAATCAGGATATTCTCACTGGAAATATCATAGAGGGTGTTTGGTATAAGAGAAATTTTTTTTTATGTCCGAAAATTTCAATTTTCAAAAGTATAATTTGTATATTCAGTTTATGATAATATTCGAAAATTAAAAATTTTAAAAAATTTAGTTTGTCAAAAATCCAAAAAAATATCACGTACCAAACGCAACTTAGGTCTAAGCAGCACAAGATGATATCTTATCATGAATACTCGAACATTTTTATCAGTGGATGACAATGAGATGCGAGGGGACCCACTTTGTCAAGTAGATTCGAAGTGTCGGCATAATCGCAAAAGATGTGTCATTTCTAAAATCAAATGAATAAATTCGAATGAACTTGTAATATAAAATTTTTGTATTTTATATTTTTTGTATATAAACATTATATAAGTGGGTCAATATTTGTGAAATTTACTAACAAAAAAGTAATCATAAAATTTTCATATTACCAAATGACGTGAAATTTACGCAAGGATATTAATATGAAGAGTGCTCAAAACAGAAATCCAAGTAAATAAAGAAGCAACCATAAATTCATAATGCGACATGCGTGTCCCTTCTTTTTTACGTATTGAGAGATGCTTGATATAACTCATGCACAGTGCCCACCACTTCTCTACGCCACATTATTAGCTGTTTTTCTAGGACCAAAAAGTAATTGCCGTGTGTCATTTAATCCTCGTTATCTTATTATAAAATCACTCAGTAATTCATCGCTTTGTGATTAATTTGATTTGAAATGAGTTTCGGAACTAAGACTTTAAATTTCTTGTAACGATGATATTAAGAAGGATCGAATACATATTCATACTTGTATCAGTTCAGTTCTCTAACAGCAACTGAACTATCTCCTATGGTGATAACACTAATATAAGTTAATACTTCTCTTGTTTTATAAAAGATTAAATAGAGTGATAAAAACACTTAACTACTAAAGTAGTGCGCATTAAACAAGAACTTTTTCTTAAGTTGATAAATGTCAATTTCAGGATTTCTCCTTCAGAATTTCCCCACAGGGAAAGTTCTTCCTTCAATATATATATATACATATATATATATATATATATACACGACAAAAGTATTTCTACAGCCATTTTAGATAAGTTTATCTACAGCTATCATTTATAACTATGTTCTCCCGAGAGAACATAGTTATAACATTAAAAGTTACTTTTTTTTTTCTCTCTTCATTTGCTTTTCAGAACCTATTTGCTGACGTAGAGAAAAAGAAAAAAACAATTTTAATGTTATAACTATATTTTCCCGGAATAACATACTTGCAAAGAGTAGCTGGTGTTGCGAGAAATGTTTACCCTGTATCCTATAACTCCCTTATCCTATAACTAGTTATCTTTTTGATTCTTTTTTTTTCATAGTTCAGACTTCAGTGTTTGCTGAGAAGAAACCATCCAAAATGGTGATTACTTCAGCTGTCACAGACCCAGAAGAACAAGGACAAAGCTTACACTGTACTTTCGCTTCCAGATATATGTGTGAATCTGTTCCCAAGTAAGTCCCTTTTTCTTAAAACTTCACACTTAGTTGTTGATCATTTCTTTTGATGAAAGCATAGAGAATTAGAGATAAAAAAAAAAGTTCGCTTTCTTTTGAGATGATGTGGCTTCTCTGTTGTGATGAACATTTGTTGAATACAGGTTCAAGATGCCAGCGAGGTCTATACCAAAGGATGCAGCATATCAGATAATAAATGATGAGTTGATGCTGGATTGTACACCAAGGCTCAACTTGGCTTCCTTTGTGACCACTTGGATGGAGCCTGAGTGTGACAAGCTCATAATGGCTTCACTTAACAAGAACTATGTTGACATGGATGAGTATCCTGTCACCACTGAGCTTCAGGTCTTTCACTTCTTTGAGTAATTGGGTGCCTTTATATGATCATAAAGTTTAGGTCTTTGGAGATCTCACTGGGTGCCTTTATAAGATTGTTTGATGTATGTTTAGTTTTTTTAAAGTTATAGCATAATATTGTGAAAGGGTTTGATTATTAATGGGTAGATATTTTCTAAAAGAAAAGTACTGCTGATTTTTATGACATTTTCCCCTCAAAGTTTGGTATTTGTGATGGTTACTTCTTAGATCTTATGTGATTTGTGGTTAGATAAAGATTCGGTGTAGAATTTACAAAAAAAAAAAAAAGATTCGGTGTAGATTACAGTAATTAGAAAGATCATGGCATGACTATGTTCTGCATCTGAAGTGTACTAGTAAAATTGAAGATTGTGATATCATATGTGGATCATTTTATAATTAGTCTCCTTTAAAATAGTTTCATTTGTTCTATTCTGCAGAACCGGTGTGTTAATATAATAGCACATCTATTCAATGCACCTATAGGCGAAGATGAGGTTGCAGTAGGTGTGGGAACTGTGGGATCATCAGAGGCAATAATGTTAGCAGGTCTTGCTTTTAAAAGGAAATGGCAGACAAAGAGAAAAGGAGAAGGCAAACCATATGATAAGCCCAACATAGTTACTGGGTCTAATGTGCAGGTGGGTCTCAAGTTGTTTTTCATGCTATAAAGTTTTAAACAACTTATAATTAGTGTTAAATTCATGCTCATGTCATGGGAAATAGTCACCTCAGTTATTGACATGCCAGATTTTGTGCCTTTAGACCTCAATGTTTGATGTTTTTTAAATATGTTATATAGGTTTGTTGGGAAAAATTTGCAAGGTACTTTGAGGTTGAGCTGAAGGAAGTGAAACTCACAGAAGGATACTATGTGATGGACCCTGTGAAAGCAGTTGAAATGGTGGATGAGAACACCATCTGTGTTGCAGCCATTTTGGGGTCTACTATGACAGGAGAATTTGAGGATGTGAAGCTTCTTAATGAACTTCTTACTAAAAAGAATAAGGAGACAGGGTGGAATACTCCAATTCATGTTGATGCTGCCAGTGGGGGTTTTATTGCCCCATTTCTCTACCCTGATCTAGAGTGGGATTTCCGTTTGCCATTGGTGAAGAGCATCAATGTTAGTGGTCACAAGTATGGTCTTGTCTACCCTGGTGTTGGTTGGGTTGTGTGGAGGAGTAAAGATGATCTGCCAGATGATCTTGTTTTCCACATAAATTATCTTGGATCTGATCAGCCCACTTTCACATTGAATTTCTCCAAAGGTAATATATAAGTTGACACATGCCTTTGATTTTTTTTTTTTTTTTGCAATCAATATCTTTGTATCTGTAGGTTGTTTAGGTGTTATTAGTATATATGTCTTATCTTTGTCTAGAGTGTTATGTCTGATTGAATAATGCCCTCTTGTTTGAAGAAAGAATTATGTTTTATTGATAATTGAAGTAGAAGATTGCACATTATAATTTTGAATCTGCTTAAGAGCTACCTGAAATGTGTAGAATCTATGAGACCTCTGCAAGTCATTGATTGCTAGATTTGAAACACATTTATTTGGCTGCAGTTGGTTGAAAGCTATTTTTGTGAGGAAAATAATGTTTCAAAGAGAGTGATGTTGTACATTGAATAATGCTTTTGAATTCATGTCATTCAGAGATTACCAGAATTCCTAAGGATTGTTGCCAATTGCAATGAAGCATATATCATGGTTATAGTACAGACTTGGATTTCACTGAGTTGTTTATAGGCCTATCTGCCTATTGAAATATTTAGATTTTATGAGATGTCTGCAAGCTGTTGCTGGATTTCCAATGTATATTCTTCTATTAAAAAAAGATTTGCAACATATTTATTTGCATGCAGTTGGTTACTTGCTATTTTTGTGAGGAAAACTGTGTTGCAAAGAGTGTCATGTTGTGCAATGAATAATGTTTTTGAATTCATTAGTCCCTCAGATATTACCATACTTACAAAGGATAGTTGTCAATAGCAATGAAACCAGACATCATGGTTATAGTGCAGACTTGGAATTCATCAAGTTGTTGTATAGGGCTATGGAAATGCCTCAGGTTATATATTGAATGTACTAACCATATGTTCTTGCAAACAGATGTGTTTTAACCCCATCAAATTTGTCCGGATCATACATGAGATAAATGATTGAGTGAATTGATCTAATTCTTAAGTATGCAGATTAGATACATGTAATAAGCTTTGGGAAATAAATTAGTTAGAATTTTCCTAAGAAAAATGCTCATAAATTATTGTAGTGCAATTTGGTTTCTATTGCAATCATCTGAATGTTTTAGCATAATATTCATTTTTTTCTCTCACTGTTTTTTTGTATTTCTTGACAGGATCTAGTCAAATTATTGCTCAATATTACCAATTTATACGGCTTGGCTTCGAGGTAATCATGTTATCATCTTGATGCTGAAACTTAATTGGCAGAACTGCACACACATATAAATGGCCATACACTTGGGTTTAATTTAGTACTTTAGTGCCATTTTGTGCTATATCTGTTTTTCTTATACATTTGGTTATTTTTCCTTGCTTTTGTAAACAAAAGGGTTACAAAAACATCATGGAAAATTGCTTGGAGAATGCAAGATTTCTGAAAGAAGGAATTGAGCAAACTGGGCTGTTTAACATTATCTCCAAGGATATAGGTGTGCCACTTGTAGCATTCTCTTTGAAAGACAGTAGTCAACACACAGTGTTTGAGATATCAGACCATCTGAGAAAATATGGGTGGATAGTTCCGGCCTATACAATGCCACCAGATGCTCAACACATCGCGGTGCTCCGGGTGGTGATTCGGGAGGATTTCAGCCGCGGATTGGCTGAGAGACTTCTTTCTGACATAGACAAAGTTATGAAGATCTTGGACACACTTCCAAGCCCTCTATCCACCAAAGCTGCACATGTCACAGCTATCACTAGTGAGACAAGTGAGAAGGTTAAATGGAGTGAAATTGAGATTCAATCAGAGGTTGTCAAGTACTGGAAGCGACTTGTTGATGGAAGGAGAGTTGGTGCATGTTAGGCTTTACCAAATCTTTTCCTTTTGGTAGCCTTGTTGTGAGTTACTTTATCTATGTGCTCTGCCCTTATGTATATGAGGAACTAAGGATTATTATGTTGTTATCTTATTTCCTATGTGTATATGTAATGCTATATAGCCATAAGCTATATAAATGCATGATAGCTTCTAATAAGCTATATCAACAATGACTATAGCAATAGTCTTGTTGTGAGTTACTTTATCTATGCGCTTTGAGGTAATGTATGTGAGGAACTAAGGATTATTATGTTGTTATCTTCTTTCATATGTGTATGTAATGCTATATAGCAATAAGCTATATCAACACATGATGGATTCTAATATAGTCATTACTGTTCTTGTGTTGGGTAGATTGAATGATTTAGAGAAAACTTTCAGTCTCTTTTCTTAAGTGGGTAATTTAATCTTTAGTTCAAGTGAAGCATTTGAGATATCAAAATTATTTGAAATTTTTAAATGTTAATTAATAATGGGGTGCCCTTTGCAGAAAAAAAAAATTCTAGAATAGTAATGAGTTGATGTTTGGAAATAACTTGACACTTTGAGGACTGTCTCCAAATAGATGGAATTTTTTTTCCCTTAGGCACATAAAGTGATTTTGAATTTCAATTTGATTAAATTTCTATACGCCATTGTTATGGCTTTTGTGTATATGTATATTTTTTTATTGAAAATTATATATTCTGTGAACAATTTTGCTCCATCCAAATGTTAGATAGCTTCTCCTAAACGTGGTAATATCACTTTGAGATGTAGTTTTGCAAGTTGGATCACTTATTCAATCTAGTTCAAAACTAAATATAAGCCACTGCCCACAAAATCAATTAAGGAAATATGTTTAACAAAAAGTTTTTCAAAATGCATTCTCTTGCCCAAACTATATTCTTAGTATAATTTACCAATTCATTCTTATTAAAATAATATATTTAACCCTGAGGATCGACTCAAATGACAATATAAATCGAAGGGTGAATGAATTGTCAAAAAAAGTAGACTGAAATCGCTCTAAAAGAATAGTTAATATCATGGAATAAAAAAAAAATACATATCTAGCTATTTACAGAAAAATCCATTTATTAATTAAGTAATAATTCACTTAATACACATTTTTGGAAATTTAATTTCTCTCTTGCAACAAAATTTTTTTCAAAAATATTTTATATATATTTTTTCAAGGGATAGGATATTGTAACAACCAAATAATGTTACTATCAATATTACTACCAATCAATTTCACCATTAGATCGATTATGTTGATCCAACGGTTATATTTTTTTCCAGCTTTATATGGATATAATTTCTCATATTTAATATGAAAACATTAAATATGAAAAATCATAACCATACAAGGTGAAAATAAATATAAAATATGAGAAATTATATTTATATAAAAATAAAAATAAATATAATAGTTAGATCAACATAATCTATATAATCCTATAACGGTAAAATTTATTGATAATAATACGAATTGATTACAATATCCCTTTATCAAACCCAAAAATAATATCATTTTGGTATCTGTAATGTTATGTTTGCTGACAAAACATAACACGGCCCTGGCCCTGCCTTCTTTTCGTCTTCAAAACGACGCTGTCGTTGGGAAGCTACATCGTCTACTACACTAAGCTCCTTCACCTCTCCCTCTGTTCCTAATCAGTTCACAGAAAATCTACACATACCCAGATTTCAAATCTGCATCTTCTCCAACTTGTTTGTTTCCTGGTTTCTGAATTTCTTGCCACTCTTCTTTCAATGCCTTCAATTTCAAAAAGCAAAATAATGATGATGGGTGTGTTTCATAGGTACATAAATTCCCTTAAAAATCCTTCCTTTTCATCATTCACCTATCATTGTTATTATAGCTTCAGAAATAAAGCTCTTCCGCTAATTGAAACTACACTTCAATCATCGAGGTTTTCTGTCTTTCATTACTCTACTTGTTGTTGCCCAATGACATTATCACATGCTTCTTGTGTGCACTTGATTCAACCTTCATTGCCCATGAACTCTTTTCTTGCATGTCATTTTTCCATGCGCCATTATTGTTCAGAAACTGCTCCCATGAACCAAGATTTTGGTTGTAGTGTGAGTGATATTGTGGAAGGTAATGGTTTAGAAAGTGATGTTGTGGAGGGAAATGGTTTAGAAAGTGGTATTGATAAGGTGTACAACACTATAATGGATAGTTCACTTGGATTTAACAATTGGGAGAAATCTCTTGATCAATTGGGTATCCCATTGTCCACCCCTTTGGTTACTGGGGTGCTGCATAGGCTTAGATATGATGAGAAAATTGCATTTAGGTTTTTCACATGGGCTGGTCATCAAGAGAATTATTCACATGAGCCTTGTGCCTATAATGATATGATGGACATCCTATCTAGTACAAGGTACAAAGTAAAACAGTTTCGGATTGTTTGTGATATGTTGGAATATATGAAGAGGAATAACAAGAACAAGGTTCCGGTTGAAGTTCTATTGACGATTTTGAGAAAGTATACTGAGAAGTATCTGACTCATGTGCAGAAGTTTGCGAAGAAGAAGAGGATCAGAGTAAAGACGCAACCGGAAATAAATGCATTTAACTTGCTGCTGGATGCTCTGTGCAAGTGTTGCTTGGTTGAGGATGCTGAAGGTCTGTATAAGAGAGTGAGAAAAGTGATTAACCCTAATGCAGATACATATAATATATTGGTTTTCGGGTGGTGTAGGGTTAGAAACCCAACTAGAGGGATGAAACTGCTGGAAGAAATGGTTCAACTGGGTCATAGGCCTGACAATTTCACGTACAACACTGCCCTTGATACCTACTGCAAAGCTGGCATGGTAACAGAGGCAGTAGATCTTTTTGAGTTCATGAGAACAAAAGGTTCAACCATATCTTCTCCCACTGCCAAGACATACTCAATCATAATTGTGGCTCTTGTCCAAAATGATAGAATGGAGGAGTGTTTTAAACTTATGGGGCATATGATAAGTAGTGGTTGTCTTCCTGATGTCACAACATACAAGGATATAATTGAAGGAATGTGTTTGTGTGGAAAGATAGATGAAGCTTACAAGTTCTTGGAAGAGATGGGAAACAAAGGTTACCCACCTGATATTGTTACTTATAATTGTTTCCTCAAGGTCCTTTGCGACAATAAGAAATCTGAGGAAGCCCTTAAACTATATAGTAGAATGATTGAATTGAGTTGTATTCCTAGTGTTCAGACTTATAATATGCTGATTTCAATGTTTTTTGAGATGGATGATCCTGATGGGGCATTTGAGACTTGGCAGGAAATGGGCAAGAGGGGTTGCAAACCAGACACTGACACATACTGTGTGATGATTGAGGGGCTATTTAACTGCAATAAAACGGAAGATGCTTGTTTTCTTTTGGACGAAGTGATAAACAAGGAAATAAAATTGCCATATAGAAAGTTTGACTCCTTTCTGATGCAACTTTCAGCAATTGGTGATCTCCGTGCCATTCATAGGATCTCAGATCATATGAGGAAATTCTATAATCATTCTATGGCAAGACGTCATGCGCTAAGTCAGAAGCGCAAGAGCATGAGTTTGAGAGGGAAGTGATAGTAAGAAAATTCTTGATCGAGTTTGTGCTACTTGTCAGGAAAATTTGGAGGGGGCACAGTTAGGAGGGTTCTTCTCATGACAGGTTAGACAAATATTTCCTGTAACCATGACAACTAGTTGCAGCTTTGAATGTGTTATATTGGTCATGCTGCCTACGCCAATAATTTTTTCGTGAAAAAAAAAAATTGTAAGTCTTTGGACCTTTTCTGTTCTCATTTTTTGGTAGTTGAGAGAAATTTTGGTAGCTGTCATGACATTTTTGTTGTGCAATGTTGGTTAATTGATGCAGCAATAAGATGGAAAGATCCATGCATGTATTTTATGGCCATGTATAAGGGCAGAGGTTGCGAATGGCATGATGGTCAACTTTGTTATATGTTCAGAAATCTCTTAATCACTTCAGCACAAAAATAATGCCATTTATGATATTTTATCTACTATTTTGGGGGGCTACGCTTTGACTTTTTGAAGCATCATCTAGATGTGTCGTAGTAATGATGAATGAACCTTCACTTCAATAATGATCGCATATACTTTTTCCCTTCTAATTCTTTGGTCACATTCTATTTTCTTGTTTGCATTTCCCCTTTTCTTTTGATGTTTCTTTTGGTTATCAGGCCTTTTTTTTGTAGATCCAGTGATGGAAGGGTGTAGTTTCTTAATCATGTCAGGCAAGTGACTTAATATGAGAACATTCTCTATGAATGTTTTCAATATTTTATAAACCATGCCACAAAGATGTGCTTATATAGATTATATTATAATTGTTAGCTCAGGTTGTGGCCTTAGTTGAAAGCTGATGCTTATTTTGGGGATTTCTTTTTCCTTGGCCAGACAAAGATTTCAAGCGTCTAATTTGCCTACATTGAGCCCCATTTTTGAACTGTAAGAAAATTCAATTACTGTAGCAATGGAGCATTGCCACATTTGTACAATTATTTTTGAAACACTGTAGCAGTTGTATCTGGTATGGAAGAGAAGTAGAAAATATTAAAAAATGATAAGAAAAATATTGAAGATACACATTGGTTATTGTAGTTTTTTTTTTTTTTTTTCTTTCCCCCTTTTTTCTCTGAACTGACTTTTGGGGCATATATGTTGAAATTTCTCTCAGGCTCCAACTTCAAGTACCAGGCCTGATGATTAGAGTTGGCTACTTGGACAAGCATATACACTGGTGGTTGATGATGTGTATTTTTCTGTGCTGGAAAATATGTAAAATGGGACAGGTTCTATTTATAAATTTTTTTGTTTACAAATTTTTACAAACTACACTATCTTCTCCCAGGAGAACATAGTACAATTTGCAAAAATTTGTAAACGGATTCTTCTTCATGTAAAATACCAGTTTCTCTGTTTTTGGTTGATGATTAAAGTTTACCAGTTATGACATGTAAACTCTTATTATGACAACCATTCACTTATATATCAGAATGGTTGTCATAGTAAGAGTTTACCTCTCTGTATATAGAGAGATTGTTTGTGAACTGATTAATCATTTATGTCAAGAATATGTGGAAAAATGTTCACTTTTCAGTATTTTAGGTATTCAATATACTACTCACTATCATGTACAGCTATAAAAACAAAAAAGCATTTCATTCTGCCGTTGTCAATTCTGATTGCAGTCGTAGCTGAGAGCAACCAAATCTCACTTGAAAAATCCTTCCTGCGTGATAACTACGGGTGTTATTTATCTGCCATCTGGACTAAGTCTTAAAACTGTTATATTTGTATTAGTTTTTTTATTTTATTTTATTTTATTTATTTATTTAAAAAAAAACTGTGGTACAAATATAACAGTTTTGTTATGATAATTGGGAATCTATTACTCTGATCGCTTTACATTAATAATTTTATATTTTATTACATAAGAGTTTATTGAAATTTGAAGTGCGAATGATATGTTTATTTATTTATCTTTATTAAGAAATTTTATGAAATTTAATTATTTATTATTAGAACGGGAGCAGTTAGAATTAAACTCTAAATCATTTAATTGATATATCAATAGTTTTATATTATATTTTTTTAATAAAATTTATTGAAACTTGTTCACATTTATCTCATTTTTAATGTAAAAAGTCTATATTTGTCAATGATAGATGTGGTCAATTGGATAAAATTTGTATGAATAATTAGAGGTGTGAAATGGGCTAGTTTAATTAAAGTTTTTTTTTTCTTTTTCGAGTTTGCAAAAAATATTATTACTATATTCGGACTGATGGCTTATTGGTCCAATTAATGGTCACTAGTTGAGCAGGAAAATAAAACTTTCATAAGTGTGGCTCACTTGGAAGTTTATTTTATCTATTAACATATGATTTTGTCCTTTATATATTATAATTAAGGGAAAAATTACTCTTATGTTACATGTGATAAATTTTTCTCCTACACACCCTTCGATAACTGTGTCACTTTTTTTTTCAGGTGGTGGAACCCACAAGTTTATCTCTGTGATATGAGATAACTTATCTCTTTTAACATGAAATTAATAAAACCCTATAATTTATTCTATAATTGTAATGTTGTTATATACATAATTATTTTAATTTTGGTCGTCAATCATCACGCTGCTGATACAATATTATCGGTAAGAATTATAATACGCTAGGGGGCGTTTGGTAGAGGATATTTTTTTTTTACTGGGGAAACATAGGAAGGTGAATTTGAATGAAAAGTTTAAAAAAAGATGTGTGGTTCACCAAAATATTATCGAAAAAATTTATGTAAATTTGCAAAGTCTATGTTTGGTTGAATGTAAAATAGTGATGGAAAAATTGATTGAATTGAACAAAATACCCCCATTATCAATATTTTTTAAACAAACCACTACCTAAAACTGGGAGTCCAACATCAATAACTTGGTTTCCTTAAATATCACTTCTCCACCTATCCTAAAATACCACACCCATGTATTAAAAAAAAAAAAAAATCACACCCAAAGTGGTATTCGTGAATAGTTAGTTTGAGCAAAAAAACAACACAAATCTAATTGCCTGGGCTTCCTATTTAGCTAGTCTTTTTTTTTCTTTCAAAACTTGAACCAAACATGGTCTTTTTTAATACCCACCTACATTTTTCCATCAAACTCAAATGAAAACCTATACCAAACACACCCTAAAGTATAAGAACAAATTGAGCTGGTGGGTTCAAATCGCGTCTTAAGTAAATTTTTAAAAAATCTTTGAGGGTCAGGGAACGTGTCTTTTTTCTTGAAGGGAAATTAGTTTCATCCTTTTTCTAATGTCATAGCTTAATGTGCCCGTTGTTATAATGAGAAGCTAGTTTTTGGAGCCGTACTTCGAGAACAAGGTGGTTGTAGGAGGTTGAATGTAGATACATCCAGGTTATACAAAAAATAAAAATAAAATATAAGAAGAAATTAAAAATTGAGTTAGACATATAGGAATCAGAATATTATATATATTCGGATTATATATGTAATAACTATATTTATTTTGGTCCCCATATTATATAATAACTCTGTTAAATTCACGATATTATTAATAGTAACAAAAGGTAGGGAAGAAGTTAAAAATATAACCAACAACTATTGATTTAAGTTATAAGAAATCAAACCGTATTAAACAGGTTGGATACAAAAAAATGATTATACGTATAAAATTAAGAGAAACGTAACATGAGATAAAATTATCTTCTATAATCTCAAAACGATGTTTTTTTTTTTTAAAAAAAAATACAAAGTATTTTAGTAATTTTACTTTTCTTTTGTATCCAGTAATTTTACTAAAATGCCCTACATTTTTTTTTCAAAACTCTGAAAATGATATCATTTTGGGATTACAAGAGATCATTTTACCTTATATTGCAGTAGAAACGCTGAAACTAAATTTAAAATATTTTTCATAAAGATTAAATTAAAGATGAGTGTTGCATATAGAGACAAAAAATATATTTTAAAAAGTTTATACATTAATTAAATACTTAATTAATAGACATAAAAACTATAAATGAAATATTTTTATTGAATTAACATTATGTCATCTTCCCAATGTTCCCATAATTATTGAGTGAAATAAGCCTTCACAGAAAGTCAAATACTAATATCAGCGAAGGTCTTAGGGTTTGGTGAGAGTTGGGCTTTTTGAGTATTCTTTCCCTTCATTTTCCCGCTGTTTCTTTCTAATAGAGGTTTTCCCGCTCCAAACACACTCGACTCAATCTTGTTCAACTGAGCACTAGAGAGAGAGAGAGAGAGAGAGAGAGAAATGAATGCTTCAACTAGGAAAAAGGTTCAGAGGAAGTGCAAGATCAGAGGCTACAATCTCAAAGTTGAAGCTCTCGATGAGATCCTCTCCTTCGTTTCTCGATTCGAAGGCCCCGATGAAGACGAAGCTATCGATCTCCTCCTCGATCAACTCGAACAAGAATCTCGTAATTTTGTTTCTACCTAAATTGTTACTTCAATTTTTCGATTTCATTTCTGTATGCTAAAATAATGAAGAAAAAAAATGGCAGTGAAATCCACCATAATCGACAAGGAGCCGGTGCACCGTGTGGTGAGCCTGCTATTGGAAGCTGAGGCGACGGTGGAGGAAAATTCCGATGCGTCTGCCACCGCTGCTTCAGCCATTCGCGTCGTTGATGCATTCCTGATCCCCAAATATAAATACGATCCTATCAGAAAGCAATTCTATGAGTAGGCTTTTTGTTCCGCAAGTTTTCCGTTGTTCGATTTGGTTTTTTGGTCATGAAGAGTGGCAGGGATGTTCTTGTAACTGATTTGTGAATGCTATTGAAACCCTCTCTGGACTGACTTTTCCAGGCACACTAGCAGCTTACCTATTCATGGGGAAGCATCAGCAAAAACGGCCTTGTATAAGAATAGGTTTCTATTGTTGTTTCAGAGGCTCTCTCGTGATCAGCATTTTTCCAAGCGTGCTTTTGATTCTGAATTTTCACATTTCGGGAGCTGTGAGGTACTGTTGGATGCTCCGATTTGCTATAAGCTTCTAATTCATTAGTTTGTTATATATTACCAAGTGTTGAGAACTGTGCATTCAATGAATGAATTCCATGTGGTGTTATTGAGGAGGATTAAAATGTAATTTTATGATATGTTGTATTTGTCAGATATCTCCTATTCAATCTCTGGTTGGGCAAACAGGTAGAAGATGGGTAATGGGAGTAATATCTCAGCTTGAGGATGGGCATTTTTATTTGGAAGACCTTACCGCTTCAGTTGAAATCAATTTATCTAATGCTATATCCTTTTGTGTGTTGACAATTATTATTTTATTTTATTTTATTGTTGGAGCTCCATAATTGTACTAAAGGTTTTCAAGTAGTTTTTCTTGGGGATAAAACAATAATAAAGGAGAGCTGACATTGGACTTGCTTCAGCAAATTGAATTGTCTCTTCAAATGTCAATATTGTTACCCCTTTTGACATTTCTTTTTGTCTGAACTGTACTGATCAGTGTCTGGATATGGTTACTTGCAACTTGTTTGCCCAGTGAGCTGTCTTGCATGTCATGTTTTGGCTTCTTGCCTGTGGATTAGTTTTCTGCTTTGAAATCAATTTGTAAAAGAATTTTTCAGATTCTATAACTGGTTTGATGCTGTACAATAACTATATTCGAAAATTAAACGATGGATATGAGTATAAATTATTCATTAACTGTAAATTAAGTAGTGTCACTTCCTTCGTGACAAGCTTACATGAATATGGAATAAGTTACATAACTTGCCCACGAGGTTTTCAAATAATTTATTATTATCCCACTTACATTTTCGTTTCTGGCTTTGTTCTTGAGTGATGAGGAACAATAACATCAGCTGTGTTGGGTACATCCAAATTATGGGTATAGTTTAGGCCTTGTTGGTTTGATAATCTAAGTCATTGAAGGACTTTGGTACAAAGTGCTTAAAATACATTTGTTCTATCTTCATGCTTTTTTTGCTAACTTTTATGTTATAGCTCATATAACATCTCAAATTTGTTATAAGCATGGATGTATTGTCATCAGTTTCTTTGACTAGCAATACAAGATAACTACAGGATTCTTTTTAGAGAATACCATAGTTGTGGCTGAAGGCGAGATGCTTGTGGAGGGTATTTTTCAGGTTCTTGTTAGCATACCCTTCTCTATATGTGCTTCATGTGCTCTTTATTTTGTAAAACCAATGTCAGTTATTTCATTTGTATCCGTTTCTATTCAGAAAGTCAATTTATTCAGGATGAAGATTACTAGAGATATATTCGCAACTTGCAACTTTTATGACTTCTAATTTGATTTGTATATGCTTTTATGACAAAGTTAATTTATTCATGATGAAGAACACTAAAGATTTAAACGCAGCTTTATGACTTCCAAGTTTGGTTTTACTTTACATGTCTTGCCGATCCAACAAGGAACATCGTGCTTGCCCTTAAAAAAGAAACCTGAACTCAATACTTGCTGAATTAAACTAATAATAGTGGAAATACCTTTTTTAGATGCAATATGTTAAAGTTATCTTAATTAAACTAACTGGTGCACCTTTTTCTGTAGGTTTTAACATGTGGATTTCCCCCATTGGAGGATAGAAATAAGTCACTTAAACAACTTGCAGGGCATGACTTTTTTGGTGGTGGTATTTTTACAAAAGAGGAAACTGTATGCTTAATATTCCCCTCCTCTTATTCTGCAGCCACATTTTTATTATTATTAAGAAACCTGAAGTTTGTCTGGTGTGTAGTCCAATGAAATTTATTTTTCCTATACTTCTGCAATAATAGATCAGACTGGAAGAAATGGAGAAAAGAGCAGTCAATGACATGTTTGTTATACTATCTGATATTTGGGTCGACAATGAAGAGGTATTTTGAAATGTGAATTTGTTTTATTTTTTCCTTCCCTTCCCCTGTACCTTGTTATTGAAATTAGCTTGATATAATCTTGATGCTGTTTCTCCGTAGAGAAGGCTTTGGGAAAGCTAGAGACTGTTCTGGATGGTTTTGAGAGTGTGGAAGTAGTTCCTTCCTTATTTGTTTTCATGGGAAACTTTTCTTCTCACCCATGTAACCTTTCATTTCACTCTTATTCGAGCCTCAGGTGAGTTCCACTTGCGATGTTTATATTTCATTCATTAACAGTGATAACTAAAAGTCTGAAATTAGGAAAGCACGTCTGCAATCAGAATCGCATTACTGAATGTGTCATTCTAATTAGAATAATTAAGAGTAGACCCTCGGATATATTATTTAACATGATCATGTTATGTGAGAGGATCATAACCATTCATGAACAAATTAACAGTGATGATAGATGAGAGAGAAAAAAAATGTTAGAATAGAAAGCGGCAAAATCATCACCATTGATTTGACCATGAATGGTTAGGATCCTCTCACGTGACATGACAATGTTAAATAACAGATTAGAGGATCCACTCATAGTTCTAGCAAACAACATTATCATTATTTATTGCTTAAAAAATGAAATTTAATTGTTGTGAGGATAAAAATTATTAGTAATCTCAATATACAGGATGCAGTTTGGCAAGCTAGGCCAAATGATTGCTTCCCATTCACGGCTAAAAGAGAACAGTCGATTTCTGTTTATTCCAGGTCCTGATGATGCAGGTATTTGACTACATTGATAATTACTTTCGCTTCCCTCTTTCTTCCATATGCGTGATACATCACTTTCAGCAATTTTTTCCAGGTCCATCAACGGTTCTTCCTAGGTGTGCTCTACCAAAATATTTAACTGAGGAGCTCCAAAAGCATATTCCCAATGCCATATTTTCAAGCAACCCTTGCAGGTTAACGTTAATTTAAATAGGATTGTACGAGACATCTTCATCAGCTGTACATTTGTGTGCTTTCAAGTTGCTATGGAAGCTAATAGTTTCTGATTTTTCGTACATTACCTGTTTGGCTACAGGATCAAATTCTATACCCAAGAAATTGTATTTTTCCGCCAGGATCTGCTATATCGAATGCGTCGTTCTTGTTTAATGCCTCCTTCTAAGGAAGAAACTGATGATCCTTTTCAGCATGTAATTGTCCTTTTTTTGTGTGTTTTCTGCTTTATTAATGTATAAATTTTTGTTTTTAGAATCTAAAACTAATGGATTTTGGGTTTAAATTGCAGCTTGTTGCTACCATAACCCATCAGAGTCATCTTTGCCCACTCCCTCTAACTGTACAACCCATCATCTGGAATTATGACCATTGTCTTTATCTTTATCCAACTCCACACGCGGTACTGCTTGTATTTGAATTTTTCTTTCTTTTGGGGGTAAAGATATATGAATCATATTTACCGATATAAATTGCTGTTTTTCACACTGACAAACTTTATGTTTTGAAAAAGGAAAAACAAAGATTGAAAAAGGAAAACCAAATTTACATCTCTGGGTAGCCTTAATTCAAATGATATATGATTTGTAAAACTTGATTCTGTGCTAAATTTTTACTGGACACAGTTTGTTCAAGGCAGCCATGCAATAGCTAGTGGTTTGTATTTTTTCCGTCTGTACCATCAAAATTACAACAATCCTTGTATTTTCATTTTCTATTATACTTGTATCTTCGATAGCTCTTAGTTTGTAATCTGCGCTCACCATGCATGATGGGGTGACAGTAATCTGGCCTTGAACAGATGACACATTAAATTTCACATCTCAAAGGCCCCCGAAAGAATGTTCTGGTGGTGATTTTGCTATAATCTTTTGATGCAGATAGTTTTGGGAGACAGAAGTCAGCAGAAGGCATTCAAGTACACAGGAATCACTTGTTTTAATCCTGGGTCTTTCTCAATTGACAGCACCTTTGTGGCTTACCGTCCTTGCTCTCAGGAAGTTGAATTGTCAGCCTTGTAAAATGAGGATAGTTTCTGTTGGTTTGTGATCCTCTAACCATGAGCCATCTCAGAAATGATGGCTTCACGATTCTTTTATTAGATATACACGGCAAAGAATGGAGCTGGAAATGTGGTACTACTATCTTTTCCTATCGGGAGGATTGAAATTGTAGCTGTTACTGTATTATATAATTTAATTACCTAGTCAACAAGTGAGAAATTTTGTATAGTAGGAATCTGCTAGTTTAGATGAGGCAGTTTATTTTTTATTTGGATAATATTTGTAGGTGCATCCTACATAAAATATCTGTTTCCTTTGAATAGTTACTAAACTACGATAAGTTATTGAAATATATTCCAAGGGTTTCATGATTCTGATACAACCCCATGTCTATCATCGGAAATGATTCAGAGGATCCCATTCTCTCAACCTTATTGGTGCTGAATCAGCAGCTGGCTGCCTGGCCTAACCAAATGTGTGAAGGATTCTGTTATGGAAAACGGTTTGGGAAGCATGATAAAAAACAGTGGCATGCCAAAAGGGGGTTATCTTTGGGCATTAGGTCTTTAGGCTCTTGGGAGAGATCAGAGACCTGGTTTTCTATTTCTGTAATTTGTGAACACTTCGTTCTTGTTCTTACATTCATCTTGTAATTTCAGTTTTGTTTCTTATCTTAAAAACAATTTCCTAGCTGTTTCCACTTAATATTCTGCATTGTTGAGTTTGGCAGTTACAGATTCACTCATAGGAATGTCACATACCAAGGATGGCTACCTTAACAGATTCATCAAGTTCCACTACAAAATTAGAATTCTCAAACTTTCTAGTCTGTATTTATTATGTATTGACTTGTAGTTTGGAAGTTATTGTCATTTCAATATCAGTCGTAGAATGATAATTTTAGTGAGTTACTAACTACTAAGGTACCCAAGTTTGTACCGCTGTTTTGGTGAGTAGTGTTGATCCTCATGACAAGTGTTTGAAGTTTCATGAAGAATAACCAACAAACAAAAGTTGTTTTTACAATTTATTAGAGTACTGATGTCTCCAATACATAAGAAAAGAACATAGGTACTGAAATAATCCCCATTTGGGTGATGCAGCTGTTATCGAAGTTTCGGCTGGCTGCGTCTTCTCTCATGCCTATTTAAGGCAGGAAGACATGTTTATACCATTTTTAGGCCAAACCCTTTCTCTGTCTTCCACATTCTCAATGTCTGTAGTTTTTTTTTTTTTTTTAATGAGAATTCAAATTCCAATTACATTACATTTCTGCGAATTTCTTATTCTCTTAGACTGGTTTCTAATTTTAAAAATGGATAAGAAACCTTATATGTTATCAGGAACTTTTATTGAGTAAACATCCAAGTTCATTCCTAGAGACATTAATTCATTATAATGCCAAAAAAAACCCTCCTCGATTTTTTGGGAACGACATAGGATAGTTATTTATGGTTCTTTAACGACTAAAAAATAAAGTTGTTACATTTTTTAGACACTACTGCATCCATTGCCAAATTTCTCATGTACAAAATTGGAGATATAGTCACCTTTATTTATCTATTCATACTTTCTACTTCCATTTTGTATTCGTCTCAAAGGGTAAAATCTCAACATTCATTTATTCAAGACATGCCAAGCCAATGACACAGAAAAGCTTTACTTCTATAATAAATTTGCACATAAAAGTTGGTATAAAATGATAAATCTAATTGTCAATATGGATAAATCTAACTGCTTCATAACTAAAAAGAAACAAAAAAGCAAATAAAAATGAAAAGAAAAATCCTCAATTGCTGAAAGCATGATGGCAATGGAACGTCTTCATAGTGTGCCTTCAAAAAAATAGTGAAGAGTAAGAAGAATTCCATGTTTAAGGATCCAGTGCGGTAACATGTTCCCCCTATCACTGACATGAAACAACTTGCCAGCGATCTTGTCAGCGACGTTGTTGATGCATAGCCAAAGGTAGAAAGCAAACACTTTATACCTCCAGCCAAGTGAAGCAAGGCTCAAAGCTGTTGGAGAGAAAAACAATCCAAACTTTCTTGATTACTTCAAATGAGTGTGACAGGAATATAATGCAGATCACTGAATGGAGCACCGATCTTCAATTCACAAATGGCACCCCAGACATAACTTGTTGAGCATATTCTTCATACTTTGCTCCAAAAAATTGCCTCAAAAAGTACTCTTCATAAGGTATTCTTTTAGCAAAAAAGCGCCAGACAACAACTGCAAATGCAATGGTTGATATGGGATTACAGAGCATTATTTGAGTGCCAACAGACCAAATGAGGAAACCACAGTACCCCGGATGACGAACAAATCTATATATACCATGAGTGATCAGCTGGTGATGCTCATCATGATAAACCTTTATAAGATGAGTAAAGGCTTGCCCAGCTGTTATAATTGCCATCTTCCTTATAACTTCCCCAATCACAACCATTGCCAGGCCCAAATCACTGATCACCCAGTATTCCTTTAGCTCAGGGAATAACACAATCTCAATAATGTATTCCAGCAACGAAAAGATCATTGCAAAAAGATAGTTTTTGCTAATCAAAAAGGACTTCAGAGTTACCCTTGATCTCCCATGAATAACAAGTGCTAGAAAATATTCAGAACCGTGAAAGAATATTATTGCAAGGAACATAGAAGATAACTGTCTGCAAGCAGTGTAGCTGAGAATTTCTGTCATTTTTGCCAAATAAAGTCAATAAGTCTCTTTCTTTTTGCAGTTTGGTTAGTTTGAATGTAATTTGCTATGCCACAGAAAGATTTGGCAGATGATACTATCTGAGGTACAATTCAGACCTGAAAAAGATGCCGAATAATGCAAAATTAGTACTGGAAATTGCATTCCGTCACCTAGAAAATGCTTCAAAAAAGACATCTGCAAAAATATGTATAAGGGTAGATCAAAACAATTGAGCATAAGTCTATTATGAAATGAAGAAAAGTATTATTGATTATCTGAATCAAAGAGATGCGAAGGAGCTGATATATATGATCAGCTTATACAAAAGAGTCATCAACTAACTAATCAAAGAACAGAAATAACTGAACTAACTAACTTTACATATTAGTTAAATAACAGAAAATATAACTAACTAATGCTGTGATATAATTAACACTGATATCCCCCCTCAAGTTGGAAGGTGAATGTCAATGAGGCCCAACTTGGACATAATGGAATGGAACGGTGCTGGAAGTAATGGTTTTGTGAGAATGTCAGCAAGCTGTGCCTTGGTAGAAATAGGCAGCAAATGGATTAAGCCAATGTTAACTTTTTCTCGAATAACACGACAATCCAACTCAATGTGTTTACTCCTTTCATGAAAACTTGGATTATGTGTGAGGTATATGGCGGATCGGCTGTCACAGTAGACAGATGCTGGCTTAGAGAAAGCAATACCAAGATCATGGAGTAAATATTTGATCCATTGAATTTCACAAGAGATGTTGACCAACGCACGGTACTCAGCTTCTGTGGAAGATCTAGAAACTGTTGTTTGTTTCTTAGATTTCCATGAAACAAGTGCTTGACCCAGAAAAACACAGATGCCAGAAACAGATCTGCGAGTATCCAAGCAACAGCCCCAGTCAGCATCAGCGAATCCAGATAACAGGAGATCATTGTGAGATGGGAAGAATAGACCTTTCCCAGGAGAATTCTTAATGTAACGTAGAACTCTCATAGCAGCCTGCATGTGTGGTTCCATAGGATTGGAGACATATTGACTGAGTTGCTGGACCACAAAAGAAAGATCTGGTCGTGTTGTTGTGAGATAGAGAAGTCTCCCAACAAGTCGACGGTAAGTAGAGGGATCAGAGTAAGGGGAACCTTGGATGCGTTGAAGCTTTTTGGAAGGATCCATGGGAGTGGTACAAGGTTTGCAACCAAGGAGGCCACTATCAGCTAAGAGCTCCATAGCATATTTTCTCTGATTCATCACTAATCCTTTGGATGATCGAGAAACTTCAAGGCCAAGAAAAAAACGAAGACAGCCAAGGTTTTTAATACGGAAACGATTATCCAATTGTTGTTTGACATTGGAAATCTCTGACAAGTCATTTCCAGCAAGAACTATGTCATCTACATAGACAAGGAGGGCAGTGAACGAAGATTTAGACTTCTTGATGAATAAGGAATGATCAGCACTTGAAGAATGATACCCAAGATCAGTAAGAGCAGAAGACAATTTGGAAAACCACTGACGACTTGCTTGTTTTAAACCATAGAGGGACTTTGTCAATTTGCATACTTGATTCGGTTGGGAACTAGAAATGCCAGGAGGAAGGATCATGTATACTTCTTCATGTAATTCTCCATGGAGAAAAGCATTGTTCACGTCCAATTGTTCTAAGTGCCAATTTTGAGCTACAACAAGGGTGAGTAAAATTCGAACAGTGGTTAGTTTAGCAACAGGGGAATATGTATCGAAAAAGTCAACACCTTCAAGTTGTGTATAACCTTTCGCTACAAGCCTCGCCTTATACCGTTCTATACTACCATCTGCTTTATGTTTAATTTTGTAAACCCATTTACAACCAATGGGTTGTTTGCCATGAGGGAGGTCAGTTAGAAGCCATGTTTTGTTCATCTCTAAGGCTGAAATTTCTGCATCCATAGCCTGACGCCAACAATCATGCTTAACTGCTTCTGTATATGTTTTGGGTTCAACCATGGTGCTAATGTTGAGGAAATAAGTGGCATATGTAGGTGCGCAACGGGTAAAAGACATAAAGGAAGAGATGGGGTAAGGAGTTGTGTGTTTAGAAGAAATACCTGAGAAAGATGTTGTCATAGCCTTGGATGAGGATAGATTGCAGTAATAGTCCCGAAGGTAAGAAGGAGGGCATCGTGCACGTGAGCCTCTTGTGGCATTTTGGTTAGGAGGATTGATATCATCATTCAAAATGTGAATAGATGATTCAGATGTGGTAGGATGACTCATGGACAATATCAAATCAGTATGATGTGATGACAGATTGAAAGGATCATTGTTAGTATGTACAGGATATACAATTTTATCAACAGAATTATCATTGGGATTAGAAAAGGGAAATAGAAGTTCATGAAAAACAACATTTCGTGAAACAGAGATTTTGTGTGAGGTAAGTTCGAGAGTGACATACCCTTTTGTGCCTTCCTTATATCCTAGGAATACACACTTTGAAGCACGAGGAGAAAATTTGGATCTGTGACTGATTAAGGTGCTGGAAAAACATAAGCATCCAAATACTTTTAATCAGTTAGGATTGGTGGTGTTCCATATAGAACCTCATATGGAGTACGGTTGTTTAAAATGGGAGTTGATATGCGGTTTATGAGATGAATGGCATGTGATATACTATATGACCAGAATTGAATTGGTAAGCTGGCTTGAAAAAGGAGAGCTCTAGCAACATTTAAAATATGTTGGTGCTTACGTTCAACGATTGCATTTTGTTCAGGAGTTTCTACACAAGATGTTTGATGATTGATGCCTTTGATTTGATAATATGAAGACATTGCAAATTCTTTTCCATTATCACTGCGAACAGTTTTTATTCTGATATGGAATTGAGTTTCTATCATTGTAATGAAATGTTGTAAATGTCCGCGGGTTTCATTTTTCCCTCGCATGAATATTGTCCAAGTGAATCGAGAAAAATCATCCACTATTGTTAAAAAATAAGAGAAACCATGAATGCTAGGAACTGCATATGGTCCCCATATATCTACATGTATCAATTCAAAGGCATGTTTAGATTGAGTAATACTGGAAGCAAAAGGAAGTTTCTTTTGTTTTGCATAGTGACAAATATCACAAGCAGTTACATGATTCTTAGGAATGAAAGGGAAACTATTTGACATATTGTTTTGAGTGGACTTAGACAAGTGTCCTAGACGTAGGTGCCATATGGCAGAGTTATCAGATGTGCAAACATTGTATGAAGCTTTCAGAGTACGCTTGGGAACATCAATGATGTATAATCCATCCTCTTCCTTAGCTATACCAATCATTTTCCTGGTATTCATCTGGACAAGAAGACACTCTGAGTTAAGGAAAACTATTGAACATGATAAAGTATTCAGAAGCTTACCGACAGATATTAAATTTACATGGAATTCAGGTACAAACAACACATCATGTAATATAAGTGTATCTGTCAAACGTATAGTTCCAGAAGATGTGGCAAATATCTTGGAACCATTTGGAAGGGTTATGGGAATTGGTTTAATTTGGGATAAGGAATCAAAATGGGAAGATAGATGGGTTATATGATCTGTTGCACCAGTATCAATAATCCATCGGATTTACCTGTTGGAGCAGTAAAGGCATTGTTAATGGATGTTGATGTTTGTATATGATGGGAAGCATGCGTTCCAATGTTTGTATCTCCCATCTTTGATTGAATTAGCTCGAGGATTCTTTGATACTGAGTATCAGAAAAGACATCAGCTTCTTTTACACTTTCTTCAGAATGCTGGATATCATCTTGTGTAACAAGGTTTACATTTCTTGATGTGATGGTGCTTCTTTGCTTGAACCCAGGTGGATAACCATGTTTCTCAAAACAGGTTTCCACGGTATGATTGGTCCTTCCACAGTGAGTGCAGAGTTTAGTTCCTCGCCCTCTGGCATAGCCATTTCGACCTCTGCCACGATTACTGTTATTATCTCCACCACGATTGAAGTATCTTTGTGTGGGAACGTTATTATCTCCACCAAGATTGGAGTATCTCTGTGTGGAAACATTGAGTAGCAACTTTGGATCTTCAGGAAAATTAGTGACATGCGAATCAACTTTAATCTGTCTTTCCTGTTGAGTAACTAAGGAAAAGATCTCATTCACTGTTGGAAGGGGTCGCATTAGCATGATCTGTGACCTATAACATTCGAGAATTGTTCATTCAATCCTCTAAGAAACCTTATGGCACAGTCTCTTTCCTTTCCATCTCGTATACGATTGGACAGTCCACAATTACATGGAATAGCACAAAGACATCTAGGGAGAGGCTGCAAAGTCTCAAGTTCATCCCATAGTGCCTTTAATTGAGTAAAGAAATCAGAAACTGACCTTTCTCCTTGTTGGATGCGATAGATCTCTTCTTGAAGATCTGTTATACGAAAAATGTCAGCTTGAGCAAATCTTTGTTGAAGATCTCTCCAAGCATCTACTGCATTTTCAATCCACATGATTGATTGAACAATTGATTCACTCACTGAGCGATGAATCCATGAAAGTATCATTGTATTGCATCTTTGCCATGCATCATACATTGGATTATCTTGATCAGGAATGGCCATGGTGCCATCTACAAAACAGAGTTTATTCTTCGATCGAAGGGACATTTTCATTGCCCTCGACCAAGAATGAAAATTCTTCCCATTCAGCAAGGAAGAAACAAGAACAGTTGAAGGATTTTCTCCAGCATGAAGAAAGTATGGATTTGCTGGATTGGTCAAGTAATCAGGAAGAATATTTGCCATCGGAGAAGGAAGAGAGGAGAAAAAGAAATTGAAAGAATACGAAAGAAATTGTTAGATGAATACCAGAGCTCAAATGTTGAGCTCTGATACCATATTATGAAATGAAGAAAAGTATTATTGATTATCTGAATCAAAGAGATGCGAAGGAGCTGATATATATGATCAGCTTATACAAAAGAGTCATCAACTAACTAATCAAAGAACAGAAATAACTGAACTAACTAACTTTACATATTAGTTAAATAACAGAAAATATAACTAACTAATGCTGTGATATAATTAACACTGATAAAGTCTCAAGCAAACAAAAATTTAGGGGCATGTATTTGCTAACATAATCATACATTCTGATATGTAGTGCAATGCAAAAATTAAAAATAAGGTTCCACATTCAGAATACTGACATAGAAATTCATTTGAAGGAGGGTTACTGTTAAGCACTTTATAGATTTACAGCAGAAGGAAAGAGAAGAGAGAAGACGAAAGGAAGAAGAGGGCAGAGGAGAGTAGGAGAAGGAGAAGATTTATGAAGAAAACAGAACTTGCTTGCACTATGTGACCAGGGATTCTAATTTATATAGCCTGATACAGTTTACAATTGGTAGGGTATCTAATCTAATCCTAATTTGAAATAACTGTTTCACTAATGCTACAATGGCTGATAATATAAGATAACTAATCCTAGTGCAACTAAAATAATGTAACTAATTTTAAACAACTAAGGATAAACTAATCTAACTAAACAACTAGGATAAGGATAAAATAAACTAACTATAAAGATAAACTAAACTAAATGAGATAAAAAAATTTATTATTTAACATAAAAGTTATTGCAATTACCCATAGATTGACAAGGTAAATAAATTGTAACAATAACAACCAACCATATTCCGCAAGGAGGGGTTCACTACATAGATCAAACGATGCCACTGGGTTCTATCAAAAATCAAATTGTCAATAAACCTAATTAGAGCAATAAATCCATTTAACTCAGCCTATGTCATGCTTTGTTGCCAATCTTCACATCGGCAATCCCAAATCCAGATAAAACGAGATGGTTGTATTAGGCAGTAGGCAGCCAACTTAGAACTTGGTCAAACATTTATGACAAGCCAAATAAATTATCTTCCAATTTTTAGTAGCCCTATGTTCCACCCCACTTCTTCAAATTTTAAAATGTCTTTTAACTTGATAGCAGGTTTGTCACACATAATTTGGAAGAGTAATTGAATCCTCAACCAGATCAACTACAAGTTCATGTTTAGTATGCCAAGACAACTGAAATAAATAACCAGAACCTACTATATCTTCTTCCTCTTGGAGTGTGATAGCAAACATTAACAAAACTCTCAGGGTCCCAAAAAACTTGACTTGCAATAACTAGTCCCCAAATTTCAGAAACCAGCTTTAGCAAAAAATAAAAATAAAATAAAATAAAATTACCCTTGTATAGTATAGTTACTAATTAGCCACGATGATACATAAGATCAATTGAACAAATGCACCCACAAATTATAAGTATGATAACAAGAACTCCAATGAGGTTAATGAATTCAAGAAATGATCAATTATGATCACTGCACAGTGAATAAACTATGCTTCCTTCCCAGTAGTTTAATTGATTGAAATTAAAAAAAAAAAAAAAAAAGGTACCAATATAACAACTACCAAAACAACAACAAAAAAAGAAAGAAAATTCAGCTACTCATTAAATCGAAGCTTCTATATGACTCTATCAGTTATAATTCACAATTTCTACAACACCAAAATCAAAGCAGAGTTAATAGAATTGCAAGGAACAAAAACATCGTACCGTATCGCATGAAAATGTTGTTCGAAACGAAACCAGGAAGGAATCGTAACGTTGTCGTGTGTTATAGATGAGTAACGCTGGCGAGTGTGGAGAAATGCACGCAAACTGCAACTCAAAACCCTAACACGAAAACTCCCATTCATTTAAAACGCAGAGTTTCAAAATCCCTCTTGTCGTATGGATATATTTATAAAATATTATATTATTTTAAAAATTATTTAATATTTTATTGATATATGTAAAAATTAATGTAATGCACATTTAAAATATGAGTTTTACTTTTCTCAGCAGTTTAGACAGAAAGCAATTTTTCCGATGAGACAAAAAAGCGGGACCAATTGGATTTTTTTTTTTTAAACAAGAAATGGTTTCGAAAATCGAAGTAAGGAGAGTAGGAAATAACAAACTTTCTGTAACATAATTTTCGGTATTATTTTTCTCAATGTTAAACGAGAGCAATCTTCTGTACATAGATCATTTGACTTTGGAGTAACTCTTATTTTCTATCTTAGTCGTTGATTTTCATCAATCCAACAATTATAATTTAAGAAGTTAGATTAATTAATTATTTATTAATTACACTATAAATTACAATCGTTGATTTTCTTCTATCAACGACTAAGATGAAGTTACTTGGGGTCAAAAAAATCCTCTCCTAATTTTTTATATTATTTTTCTCTTGTTACGTAAGAAAAATCTTCTCATACATAGATAAAGTGTAATGTGAGTTTCACTTTGTGTTTTCTCTCTCTATTTAATAGGACCCATATTGCACTTTGTGTATGCATGATAAAATTTCTCTCTTATGTAACATGAGAAAAATCATAAGAATTGATATTTGTTCTTTTAAAGGACATAAAATTATGTTATTTTAAGTGAGAAAAAATATACACCATAGAAATTATGAGGGAGAAAGTGAGAGATTTTAAAAAATAAAATAAAATACACTAATTTTAACTAAAATGGTCATCCAAAATAATACCTGATCGGGCCAAATACAGTAATGGCTGGCCAATGTGTACTGGGCCAAATCACACACGGTTGATGTAGAAGGCCTTTGGGGTGATCTGCTTTCTGGGCTTGAGGTAGTAGTAGATGATGTGAAGACTTTGACTCTCTTTTGGAGCGATGATTCGGACTGGGGATACCTCTCCGACGCTCAAGTTAGTATCAATAGTAGGAGTATGTGTATTCTTACTGAATTAGATGATTATACTTGAGCAAGTACCCTCTGTTTATACAGTGGTTGTAATGCCGCCTTGTGAAGGTGGTATGGCCTCTGATTAGCCGTTTTTGGGCTACAAGTTCTGATGTGCCTTAATAGCCTTATCTCTCAATGTCAGACTACTTTCATAGACTAGTGGCAAGCTGATGCTGTCCTTTGTCTGTTTGTTTGATATCGCGGTGGACCTTTGTTAGTTCCTGTGTTGGCTTCCTTATCTCTGAAGTTATATCAAATGGCGGTTTTGTGCGCGATGGTGGCATCGCGCCGCGCCATGTTTAGGCGCGATGTGATTCAATGCGCCTCATACTGAGCTTTAAGGGTTTTGGGTCTTGTCCTTATGTACAAGGGTGTTGTAAATAGTAATTATGTAGTCATTTATTAGTAATTATGTAGTCATTTATTTGTATTAAATAGTAATTATGTAGTCATTTATTAGTAATTATGTAGTCATTTATTTGTATTTATTTAGTCCGTTACTTGTATATTGGGCCAAGCTCATTAGGTCAAAATTAGGTCAAGAAGTCTCTATAAATAGATATCCCTATGTACAGATTAAAATACGATTCAATAATATTTCAAATACCCTTTTATTTCAAGTTGGTATCAGAGCTCTCGATCCTGAGGGCTCTGCTTCCGCGCCTATTGTCTTTAGAACACGAACCTTTTATTCTTTTTGTCTCTCGCTGCCATCAGCCGCCACCGGATTTTTTTTCCGGGGACCTCTTGGACCGAGAAGATCTCTGTTATACTGGATCTCTGTTACTGTTCATCGTCTCCATTATTCTTCATCACAAGACAGCATCTGTTCACCACAATTGGACCTTTTTCCCGGTGGTTTTTCAACTCCGAACAGACCCAGAAAGAACCGCGCTCACCGGACGACGTTCCTCCAAAAATTTCAGACCGGACGGCCACCGGACGCACCCACACGCGCTGCCCCTTCAACCGCGAGTGAAGCCCACGCGCAGCCAATCTCACCGGCGCGTGGCGACGCGTGAGATCATTTTTCCGGATCGGACCACCGCGATCTTGATCGTCTCTTCATCCTCTTTCTGGATCTGTGTTCCTCTCTTTGATCGGACATCGTTTGGTATTTATTTGTGATTTTTTGGCTTCTTGGAGCTTTTCTTTGACCATTTTCTGTGCAGTATGGCCTCTTCTCAAAGGAGTTCTTTTTCAAAATTTTATGATGGTACCTCTTCTAGACCTAAGAGAGATGATCGATGGTGTTCTTATTGTAAAAGAACATGTCATATCAAGGATTTATGCTTTCGCCTTTATGGAAAGCAATCTGTCTTAGAAAAGATGGCAAAGTTGCGTGGTCAAGCGCATTTTACTTCCTCTGAAATAACTCCTACACCTAATAAGACCCAACCTGCATTTCGTCCAGATGAGTTGGAACGGCTCCGAACCATTCTTGATTCTATGAGTAAGCCATCTGATACTAGTGCTTTGACTATGACTGGTATGAGCTTCAAAACTTATTCTTTCCTTTCTTCATGTAATGATTTTAAACATTCTTGGGTTGTTGATTCTGGTGCTACTGATCATATGGCTTGTTGTGCTGACTCCTTTACCTCTTATCATCCTACCATTGGAACTCATACAATAGCCGTAGCTGATGGCTCTCATACATCAGTTGCAGGATCTGGTGACATAAACTTACAGCAGTCCTTACATCTTAAAGATGTTCTTCATGTTCCTAAACTCTCCACGAATCTTCTTTCTATTCATGAAATTACAAAAGATTTGAATTGTACTGTAACCTTCTATCCTACCCATTGTGTTTTTCAGGATCTCGCCACGGGGAAGACGATTGGTAGTGCTAAAGAGCAAGGTGGGCTGTACTATCTGGTGTCACAATCTCCTGCAAATAAAGTAACAAATCACATCTTGATGTCTCATGGTCAATCAACTGCTGATTCTTTGATTTGGCTTCATCATAAGCGCTTAGGTCATCCTCCATTTAGTTTACTCAAATCTTTATTTCCGTCATTGTTTTTGTCTAAGTCTGTTGAGTCTTTTCATTGTGATGTTTGTGAATTTGCTAAGGATCATCGTGTGTCTTTTCCTTCTAGTATTACTAAGAGTGTTGAACCTTTTGATCTTATTCATTCTGATGTTTGGGGTCCCTCTAAAGTCCCTCATGGTTCTGGAAATAGATGGTTTGTTTCTTTTATTGATGATTGCACTCGTGTAACTTGGGTGTACTTAATGCGTGAAAAGTCTGAGGTACCACAACTGTTCTTTCAATTTTATAAAATGATTGAGACCCAGTTTGGTAAAAAACTCAAGAGACTAAGAACAGATAATGGTACTGAATATGTTAATCATAGCTTTTCCCAATTTATAAGAAATAACGGTATGATTCATGAACTTACTTGTGTTGACACCCCCCAACAGAATGGGGTTGCTGAAAGAAAAAATCGTCACCTTCTTGAAGTGGCTCGTGCATTAATGTTTCAGACACATGTACCCAAATACTATTGGGGAGATGCTATTCTTACTGCAGCATTCTTGATCAACCGTTTACCCACTCGGGTACTTGACCATGTAAGTCCTATTCACTCTATGACTTCTTTTTTCCCTTCTATTCCAACTATGATGAGTCTTCCTCCACGAGTGTTTGGGTGTGTTGCTTTTGTTCATGTTCATAAACATCATCGCAGTAAGTTGGACCCTAGGGCTATTAAATGTGTTTTTCTTGGTTATGTTCCTGATAAGAAGGGCTACAAGTGCTATCACCCTAGTAGTAGGAAATTTTTTGTTTTATGGATGTTACATTTCAGGAATCTGAGTCCTTTTTCCAAGGTCCTCATCTTCAGGGGGAGAATCCTTCACCAGAAATCTCATCACCTCCCTTCTTTGAGTGTGAATCATCAGTGTCTACTCCTTTACCTATGTCAGTGTATCCTTCACCTGGTCCTGTTCCTCCTGTGTCTGATCCTTTTGTGAGTAATCCTCCTGTGACTGATTCTCCTGTGATTGATACATCAAGTACACCAGAGATACGAAAGATTATGACACCTGAAAGAAGGAAACAGCCCACATTGTCTCAGCAGCAACCTCAATCGTCTGAACCACTGGTAAGTCCTGAATCTCATATTTCTGATCATGATGTTAATACTTCTGATGACTTACCCATTACTACTGATTCTGATGATTTACCCATTGCTCTTAGAAAAGGAAAAAGAGCTTGTCCCAAGAAATCTTGTCCCTCATGTCCCTCTTGTACTCAATACCCTATCTCCCAGTTTGTTTCCTCTGCTAATCTTTCTGTGCAGCACAAAATCTTTGTTTCAGCACTAGACTCTATTGCAATCCCAAAATCAGTACATGAAGCCTTGAAAGATAGGAATTGGGCTCAAGCCATGCAAGAGGAGATGAATGCATTGGAGAAAAATAAAACATGGGAGGTTATTGATAGACCTACTGGAAAGAAAGCAGTAGGGTGCAGATGGGTTTATGCCCTGAAATATAATTCTGATGGAACTCTTGAGAGATACAAAGCTCGATTAGTTGCCAAAGGCTACTCTCAAACCTATGGCATTGATTATGAAGAAACATTTGCTCCAGTTGCAAAGATGAATACGGTGAGAGTTTTGTTATCCCTTGCTGCCCATTACAATTGGGATATAAACCAATTTGATGTGAAGAATGCTTTCCTCAATGGTGAGTTAGAAGAAGAAGTCTACATGGAAATTCCGCCTGGTTTTGATTCTGTGAAGGGAGAAAATAAAGTTTGTAAATTAAAAAAGGCCTTGTATGGATTGAAGAAGTCACCTCGTGCCTGGTTTGGAAAGTTTACTAAGGTTATGATGACCTTAGGATATAAACAAAGTCAAGGAGATCACACTCTTTTTTTCAAGCACTCCCAAAATGGGAAGCTTACTGTGCTCCTTGTATATGTTGA